TGAGAGAGGGAACACAAGCAGGGGGAGTGGGAGAGGGAGAAGCAGGCTTCCTGCCGAGCAGGGAGCCCGATGTGGGGCTTGATCCCAGGACCCTGGGACCATGACCTGAAAGGCAGACGCTTAACAACTGAGCCACCCAGGCACCCCTGGCTTGCTTTCTTTTTGGAGCCATGATACAGCCAGTCCCCTCAGTCTTTAACAGCTAAGTACCACAGGTGGCACAGCAGGCTGCCAGATGTATGAGGCTTACAGATCCTCTCTCTCTCAAGCTCAGATGGGGCAAATGGGTTCATTTCCACATACTGCCAAATTACCATAGTGCAATGTAACTGGAAGATTATAAACCTGAATTAGAGAGGCACTGTAACCTAATGATAAGAGCAAAGACTAGCCAGACTTCCTGGACGTGAATCCAGTGATCATGGACAAATCACTTAACCTTTCTGTGCCTTAGTTTCCGCCTGTTTAAAATAGTAGTATTAACAGGGGCACCTGGCTGGCTCATTTGGAAGAGCATGTGACTCTTGATCTCAGAGTTGTGAGTTTGAGCCCCATGCTCAGGGTGTAGAGATTACTAAAAAAAAAATTAAAGAGGCATCTGGGTGGCTCGGTTGGTTAGGCATTTGCCTTTGGCTCAGGTCATGATCTCGGGTTCCTGGGATTGAGCCCCGCATCAGGCTCCCTGCTCAGTGGGGAGTCTGCTTCTCCCTCTGCCCCTCCCCCTGCTTGTACTCTCTCATAAATTATAAATATAAAATTATTTTAAAACAAAAATAAAAATAAAATGGCAGTAATAACTGTCTGTCTCAGGATTGTGATTAATTAATACACATCAAGCACTTAAGAGAGCCCCTGGCACATAGAAAATTCTGTTTAAGTAATTGTTTTTACTAAGAGAGGAGTGTTCTAGGCTTAGCTCTCATTTTGTTGGAACTTTTCTTGATTGTCAGGGAAACCACATATTAAAACTACTTAGCTGTTTAACTGGAGAGTCAGGCATCTGCATTAGAGGTAGAGATGGAAAGTTTCAGAGCATCAGCTATTCTATTTTGAAGCCCTTTGAACAGATCATCCCATCAGGCCTATGCAGCATAGTTTTAGGGTAATTGAAGTCATCCTGTTTTGATTTTAGGGATTTTTATGTTACCACTACTGAAACAAAGCAGCATATATGAGAGAAATTTCCCTGTTCCTGTGCAGTGTATTAACCTATTTCATGTCATAAAGTGTTGTGGGTTTTTTGGTGTTTTTTGTTTTTTGTGGTTTTTTAGCATATTGGAGTACACTGATGGGGCTACCTGTGGCTAGAGTTTGTGGCTCATGGGCTACAGTTGACCCATTTCCTGCCTACTCAGAAGGCTGAAGGGGTCAATATGTCAGCATACTTGTAACCTCCTAGTGACCCACACCAGTTGGAAAGTTCTGTTCTCATTATGAAATAGCTTAAGGAATTCCACTCAAAATCCATACTTTGACTTTTTACCCAGTCTACCTTTCCCTTGAAGACAATCAAATAGGTCACAAAAATAGAAACTGAGTGGTTTTGTTTTTCTTTGGTTAAAATATAAGAATATTGTGATTTTTTTTCAACCCTCCTTCAAAAGGCAGTCTGAACACACGTCCTACCTTTCCTAGGAGTAATTTTTCAGACTTTGGTGCATGCAGATCCAGTTTGTATATTTTCTGGAGTGTCTTCTGGACCTGGAAGCTGGGTTTTCGACCTTGAAGAAAATCCTTTGAAGACGGGGCAAATAGGAATGTATTTCAGAAAGGCAATCCTTTTTACCATGCTCATCCCAATGGGGAAGTCATAGCTCTTGAGACTGGTAGACATCTCGCTGTTGGCATGGGCCCCAGCTTTCCACTGTATCAGACCTCGTTCCTCTGGGCTCCCTGAAATAGGACAGTGAGGTTATCAAGACCAGCAGCCCTCCACTACCTCCCCTCCATACCTCCACAACCTAGTCCTGAGACAGATTTCTGGAATCCATTGTCTTCATTCTCAAGTATTTTCTGGGACTGAAAGGTTACTGAAGCCATGATTTCTCGGCTTTTAACTTGGCCAGAGCTCTAGGAAACCCTAAAAGATACTGGTTATAATTAGTATCTGTTGTGTATGTATAGTGTGCCAGTCTCTGTGCTAAGGGCTTTAATTTCGTTCATTAAAAATTCAAAAAATTATCTCATTTCTTCAAAACATACCTGTGGAAGGCATATAGGCACTAACATACACATTTTTACGATGAAGAAATAGGCAGAAAGGTTAAGTAATTGTCAACCTACATCTTTAGTATGGGCCTAGCATGTGCTAAGCTGATGAGGACCAACAGTGCCCAGTCTGCATTGGGGGCAGGGAGGGCTATTTAGAAACACTATAGGGGTGCCTGGGTGGCTCAGTCCTTAAGCGCCTGCCTTCGGCTCAGGTCATGATCCCAGGGTCCTGGGATCGAGCCCCGCGTCAGGCTCCCTGCTCAGCGGGAAGCCTGCTTTCCCTCTCCCACTCCCCCTGCTTGTGTTCCCTCTCTCGCTGTGTCTCTCTCTGTCACATAAATAAAATCTATATAAAAAAAAAAAGTCTGGAATTTATAAAAAAAAGAGACACTATAATCAGTATTACTATTCAATATTAGGATTCCATATTTGGGAAATAAACTCATTTTTATAACATAAACCTCAGAAAGTCAAGCCAAGTAAAGTCTTTGTTGGTAGTGTGGATACACAAAAGATTATTTACATCTAGGGGAATGCTCCCTCAGGTGGGGGAGGGGTGCATGAGGTCTTGGGTGTTTTTGTTTTTTTTTTTTAACATTTTATTTATTTGACAGAGACAGCGAGAGAGGGAACACAAGCAGGGGGAGTGGGAGAGGGAGAAGCAGGTTCCCCGCGGAGCAGGGAGCCTGATGTGGGATTCGATCCCAGGACCCTGGAATCATGACCTGAGCTGAAGGCAGTCGCTTAACTGACTGAGCCACCCAGGTGCCCAGGTCTGGGGTTTTCACAAGAGGGCTGGGGTGAAAGAAGATTGCTGGAGTGTAAATCTAGTGGAAAGAGGTTTCCACTAGCCCCACTAGCATTTGCTGAACTAATTTGTGATCCAAAAGTCACAAAAATAGAAACTGAGTGGTTTTGTTTTTCTCTGGTTAAAATACAAGAATATTGTGATTTTTTTTAACCCTCCTACAAAAGACCGTCGTAACACACATCCTGCCTTTCCTAGGAGTAATTTTTCTTAAGTTTGGGCTGTAGATGGGGAAAGGGCAAAAGCAAAGCAGCCCATCAGTAAAATGCCCATCACACAGAAGAAAGTGTGTGATTCCATGATTAAGGACTGGCTTCTGATTTAGCCAGACCTGGGTGTGAATTCAGGTTGGGTGACCTTAGGCAAGTTACTTGACTGCTCTGAGCTTCAGATTTCTCATCCGTGCACATTGAAGGACTACTGAAGATTATGTGGCACAACATACATGATGATCCTTGGCAGAGATGGTTGCTGATAGGCTGTTGCGTTGAAGGATGGAGATGTGAAGAACTCAGTAAAGCAGTAAGGCTCTTAACATCTGGGTAGCTTAATCCAGCTATCTAGATCACAAAGAAGCCCCTCTGTATACAGCTGTCCACCTGATGCCTTCCATTTTCCCAGATTTCCTGAGCATTGAGACTGCCACGTCCTTGTCTCTGGTCCGCAGCCTGGGTTCCTCTCACTGGGGAAGGGCAGGTACCTCCCATTAGTCCATGGGGTAGCTGCTACCAAGAGTTCTCATGTCATCTTATGCTAAAATCCCTAAAAGGGCCCTGGCAGGGCGCCTGGGTGGCTCAGTCGTTAAGCGTCTGCCTTCGGCTCAGGTCATGAACCCAGGATCTTGGGATTGAGCCCTGCATCGGGCTCCCTGCTCCACGGGAAGCCTGCTTTCCCTCTCCCACTCCCCCTGCTTGTGTTCCCTCTCTCGCCGTGTCTCTCTCTGTCAAACACATAAAATCTTTAAAAAAAAAAAAAGGGCCCTGGTACCTAGGCCCTTCCTGCCCATGCTCCAGCCCTGCAGCTGTGTTTAGGCTGGTAAGTGGTGGGGAATGGAGGGCCATCATCCTGGTACTCCCATCCCTCCTCTCCCTGGACTGATGCAATCTTTAACCTCTGCCCCCACAGAGCTTTCCCTGATCTTCCAGGTCCCCTGAAACCCTCCAACAGAGGCAGTATGGTGCAGTGGCTGGGACACAAGCCATAGACTGCATCCAATGGACTTCGTTAAAATCTCAGATTTGCAACCTTTTAAATCTGCAAATGTGAACTTCGGTGAGTCACTTAACCTCTCTAATTCTGTCTCCTTGTGAAATGGTGTTGACAGTCTCTGCCTAACAGGATAGTTTTTGAGAATTAACGCGAGACCTAAAGTTTCATTCCAGACCCACAGTAAATGTTTGGTAAATGTTAACTATGCTTGTTACTCATTAGAACATGAAAAACTCGTTACTCGTTAATACAACTGGTGGCATTTAGTTTTTATATTTTACAGGGCACCTGAACATGGGCCAGGAGCGTTCTCAGGGGCCCACGCTAAGTATCCTCCACAATCCCTGCAAAAAACCCCGATTCCAAAGAGAATGTTAGGGGCTCTCCTAGTAGTCAAGTGTGACAGGTTGCTGGCATATTTGGAGTGGGTTTTGCCACCCAAACTACTGCTTCATTTGTATCTGGCCTAATGGAAGAAAGCAAAGGCTCCCAAAGGCACCCTTCCACTTGGTGGCTATCAAGAAATGGAGAGGAAACAACCCACAGGGCCTGGGAAAGACTCCCCTAGACCCACCCTCTTCAAGCCCTATAGGGCATGTCTGTGCCTCTGTCCCAGCAGTGTGTCTCCAGCCAGTGGGCACTCCGCCAGCCCAAGTGTCCCTGCTTCTCCTTGCAGGGCCTGCATTGCCTGGGTGCTGGCCACACTTCTGGTTGAGGGGCCATCTGTCAGAGTGCAGATGAGCCCAGCCTAGTCCTGTGTGCCCCTCCCCGGGCTGACCCTTACCTGGCACTGTGTTGTCCAGTATGAAAGCGAGACACCCACCCACGAACATCTCTGTGGTCAGCAGCACCGTCAGAATCTGGTCCACTTCAGGAATGCCTGTGGAATAGGCCAAGGGCCAATGGGCATCTTGGTGTGGTCTGGAGACAGAGCCCAGGGACTTTGTTCCCAGCTTGTTGACTTCTTTGAGCAAGCATGGTGATGAAACGGTACAAATCCCAACGTTCACACCTATAATCCCAGTTTTGTTGTCTTGGGACACATCATTTAACTTCCCTGAGCCTCACTTTCCTCCTCTGTAGAGAGGACAGTAGTATCTGTCTCTGGACGCTGTTGTGCATGTTAAATGAGCACATGTAAAGCTCCACGCCTGTCCCTAAAAAGTGTCTCCGTCAAGGACAGCTGCTAATTCGCTTCTCCGCTTCTGCTTCACACCCAAAGTTGGCCAGGATTTGTGGCTCAGTTGTAGGGTGCCTTTGAGGGAGGGAGCCGTGCCCAGAGCCCACCACGCATCCCCCAGCCCCGGACATTCGGACTCGCGGAGGTACCTGTGTTGATGGCGCCGGGGTTGGACTCCAGGTAATTGGGCAGCGTGAGCCCGAAGAACATGGAAAATCCGAGCACGAACAGGTTGCGGGAGGAGTTCATGTCCACGAACTGCAGGTTGGACAGCCCCACAGCCGTAATCATGCCTGAGGGCGCAGGGTTAACCGCTGGAGCTGCCGCGCGGGCAGGGCGGGCTCCACCACTCCCAGACCGCACGGACACCCCCGGCCCGCACGCGGCACTCACCGAAAAGGGTGCAGAACATGCCTCCCAATATGGGGTCAGGGAGCGAAGCAAAAAGGGCGGTGAACTTGCCAATCGTGCCCAGCACTAGCATGATGCCCGCACCATACTGCACCACGCGCCGGCTGCCTACCTGCAGGGGAGCCGGGAGGGGGGCGGGGTTAGGCCCTGGGAGCGGAGCTGGGCGGCTGGGGGCCCTGTTACGAAAGCGAGCACAAAGGAGCCCAGGCTCCTTGCGGGCAGGACCATTCAGAGACGGGGTGTGGCTGCGGCCCGAGGAATGGAGGTGGGGCTTTGTGCGGCTCTGGCTTGTGGCACCTTGGTAATCCCCAGAACGCCGATGTTGGGGCTCGACGAGGTGGACCCGTTGCCTGTGCCCAACAGCCCTGCGATAATGCAGCAGATGCCTTCGGTGAAGATGCCCCTGTAAGGAAAGGGCGCGTTGGGGGCTTGGTCCAGCCCCTGCCTTGGCTTGGGTCCCCCCCCCCAGGTGGGCTGCTCGCCTTCTTGGGGACTGTGCAAGCTGCAACTATCTGTCCTAGTACTCCCCACTCCAGGCCAGAGGTAGGTCTGGGAGCCAAGAGCCCACGTCCAAGCGCTAGTCCCAGTGCCCCAGAACTTATTCCCTTAGGTGACCCTGGGCTTCAATTTCCTCATCTGTAAAATGGGGTTAAGGGTACCTGTCTCACAGAGTCCTTAGCAGACTGCATAAGAGAATGCACATGGAGGGCCAGGCATGTTGAAGACTGTCAACAACCATAGTTTCCCTTAGGCTTCATTATCTCAGCGACTCAAACACTCAGACTGAATGATGAGAGCATCCCCATTTCATAAGTATGGAGAACGAGGTCTGGACAGTCCAAGTCCACACCTTTGGGACTCAACCCTGTCCCTACATTTGCTTTCTGAGTGGCCCCTGAGAAGATCCGATACAGAAGAGGGCAGGTGGCCATACCTGTTGATGGCATGTACTGGAGGGGGTGGGGCGCCAGCCAGGCGGGCACAAGCATAGTAATCTCCGATGGACTCAATGATGCCCGCCACTGTGGCACTGAACATTCCCAGGACAGCAGCCGCAGTCACCGTGGGCAGGCCCCACTGACCTGGATTGGGGCGTGATAGCGTGGATGCAATGTCGCTGGGTGGGCCAGGGAGGGGACTAGGCAGTTCGTGGGGGTGAGAGTGGGGGTGAAGGGACCTCGAGCTGGGGCAGGAGCTCTACGCTTGTGGGAGCATATTTGGGATCACTTGGAGTCGTGAAGCTGGAGTGAGGCTTTGAGGAAAACACTCTGCCTGGCATACTAGAAATGTACATGTAATGCCAATTATATAGTCAGTGGGATTGGTATCATCGGGGGCCTTGTAGATGGTCTCAGCTGGAGGCAGAGGGGGCCAGTGGGGTGGCTCACAGGGGTAGGGGATGCGGATCCAGGGCGCAATAGCCATGATATCCCCTCGTGCGTCTGTCCGTGCCTGGAAGCCGTAAGCTGTGGGGTCTGAGGGCAGCACATTCGTCAGGGTCAGGACATAGCAGAGTAGCCACACGGTCATGATGGCCAGCACAATCTGAAGTGGGGTGGGGTGGGGGGAGCACTGAGGGCCCTGGAGGTCTTGGTCCAGCCAACCAGCCCCTACCTCAGCCCCAGCCTCTGCCACAACCCCAGCTGCAGCCTTCACCCCTGCCCGAGCTCAAGCCTGGGCCCCAATACCTGCTCTAGCCCCTGACTGGGACCTTATCTGTGCTCTGGCTCTAGCTCTTCTGGGGTCCCGGACCTGCCCCCAACCTTTGCCCTGGACACAGGTCCAGCCCCTGCCCTAGTCCCAGCCCCAGCCGCCTGTCAGCTCCTCACTGGAAACATCTTGAAGATCTGGATGCGGAAGAGAGTCAGGCCCTTGCCCCAGCGGTAGACAGGCAGCAGGAAGGTGAAGTTACGCAGGTACTGGGAGAAGAGGACGATCAGGAGAATGGAACTGGGGGCAGAGGCACAAAGGAAAGATGGCTGGTAGGCTGGGCTAGGGACAGGACATGAAGGGGGTGAAAGGGCAGAGGCTGGGCAAGGATCAGGCCTGGTGCCTGCTCACCAAGCTGAGATGCCCCAGTGGGAGCCAGCTCGGTCACCAGCAGCTTGGAAGACAGAGAGGCCAATGAGGGAGACAGTGGGGGTGACCGTGAGAGGTCCTATGTAGCTGAGCAGGGCCCCAGGCAGCCCCATCAGCCCGATCACCACCTCCACTGTGCTGGACACCATGATTGCACCCTGGACCTAGAAAAGCAAAGATCAGCTGTAAGTCCCTATGTAGAGTCTATCACCTCTACATTAAAAAAAAAAAAAAGCTCCTGGACTGCCTCCTTGAATCCCCCAACTCAGCAGTGGCTCCCCTCCCATCTAGCCCCCTCCTTAAGTCCAGGTCTCTTCTACCCCAGGTGCAAGCCCACCTCTCGTATCCGTGGGTGCCAGATATGAGAGGTGTTCAGGGGAAGACTCCAGTTACCGTAGATCTCCTCTGGGAGCAGAGACAGGGACACACACATGGCCAGGGAACAGAGACAGAGAGGAAGAGAAGATGCTGCCATGAATGCACCCCAGTGTCTGGACTTGGGACAGTTGTCCAGACTTCCAGGCTCCTGGGCCTCCCCTCTCCAGCACAGCCCCCAGAAGTGTGCCCACCTTCTGGGGGGCATTTCCATCTCTCCAGGGCCAGGATGGCTTTGGCTGGGACCAGAAATGCAAAGGCGCTGGCCTGGAACAGCGGCAGCCTGGAAGAAGAGGCACAGAGCGGCAGGGGTGGGCAGGGACACAGAGACAGGAGAGATGGAGACAGAGGGCACCGAGAGAAGGAGACAGAATCACACCCAGAGGCAGAGAAACAGAGGGACAAGGGACAGGGCAGAGCTAAGAGAAGTCACTGCAGCCCCAGGCAGGACTCCATGAATTTTGGGGGCCCAAGGAAGAAAACAGAGTCCCTGCCTCACAACCTTACCCCCTTTCCTTCTCAGCCCCAGCTCCTGCACTGTGAGGAGCCCCATGCAAGGAAGTAGACAGCTCAGCTCTTGCATCCAAGCTCCACTCACAACCTTCCTCCATCCTCCCACCACACAACCGTTTTTTGGCCACCCAAGCCTTGAGCTGTGCGCTCGGGGGCAGGGGGCCCCCAGGAGGATGGGCCGTTGAAGAAGCTCACACACAGCCTAAAAGCCGGGAGTGGGTGATTCTGATTACTCAGAGTAGGGCCTAACAGGGGGAGAGCCCAGCTAAGGGTACATTCCCTTAAACCCACCGACTCCTTGTCTTTGGGGAGCCTCAGGGGCCCAAGGTAGGATCCCAGCTGCCTGGCTCTAAGGCTGGCTTGGGAGTAGGAGTAGCAGGTGGGGGAAGATAGCAGCTCCCCCCTCCCCAGAAGCGCCCTCAGAGAAACCACCTGGTCCTGTGGTGTGGCTCACAGGTGGGGGCAGGCAGCTCACCGGATTCCCAGTGTGCTCTGGATGAGGGTGGTGATGCCCACGCAGGTGAAGATGGTACCGATGAGCTGGCTGACCATGTGCTGGTCCCGGCCCACGCACAGCGCCTCAGCCAGAAGGAAGGGCACAGCGATGGTGCCACTGAAGCATGTCAAATAATGCTGGGGGGGGGAGCGGAGGGCGTGAGGCGGCTCACAGGCAAACAGGGACACCCTAACGATCCTCATGCCTGCCTCAGGGGGCCTGAACCCCTGCTGCCCCTGGCAGGGTGCTCACCCAGACCTGATACTCGCACAAGGGAGTCCCAGAGAGCTACTGTTCACCTCTCTCTTTGGGGTACTAATCTGCCCCCAAGTTCTTCCTGTGGCTTCTGTGGAGTGGGTCCTTTCCCTGTGACTGACATTCTGCCTGGCGGGTGACACATAGTCCCGGGGATAACCTCTCAGGCCCCATCAGACGCCCCTCCCACCCCAGCTCCGTGACAGTCGCTGTTGTTGACCTTAGGTTTCTCTTCCTGTTACCCAAGATAAACTTGTTGGCTAGGAAGGGGGGTGGGATCCTGGGGAGCATGCAGAGTGGGGGTGGGGAGGCCCTGCAGGGAAACCCACCTGGAAGCCCAGCAGAATACACAGGTACCAGGGTGGCACATCCTCAATCTTGTACAACATGTCAAACGTGGGCTCTCTGGGCAGGGACACTGTGGGATCCCTCGTGGAGTTCCCTGCGGAGCCCAGGGACTCCTGCTAGGGCAGCAGAGAGAAGTAACTCAGGGTGGAGTGATGGGCACCAACCAAGTGCATTCTGCCCCAGAAGCAATCAAATGGCCTGAGTGGCCTGTCAGATCCTCACAACGGTGTCTGAGCCCCACCCTCCCTCCCGGTTCATCCACCCAGCTGTCTCTCGGTCTGGCCACCCCTGGCTCCCTCCTCACATTCCTTTGTGCAGGGATGAGTCCTCTGTGCTGGCTCCTGGAGGCCTTGGGACTGAGGCATTCTGGCCAAGGGGATGGGCCCCTAAGTCAGAAGGCCCCAAGGGGCAACAGGAGGGGGGCCAAGAGGGCTGAAGTCCGTGGACAGGCCCTCTTGGGCACACTCTGGTCCTACCCTTGCCACTTGGGGTTCCTTGGGGTTGCCCTGGGGGTGGGGTAGGTGGTCCCTGCTGACCCTCAAGCTGGAGTCAGCCAGTCCCAAAGCTGACAACTGCACCCTCACTGCCACCCACACCCCATCCCCCAGTCGCTACTTGCAGCCTGGGATAGTCACTTTCAATCAAGTTCATCAGAACTTGTGTCTCTGCCTTCCCAGGGGGAAGACATGAGCAGGCCCTCTAGCCCCCACCCAACCCTGCCCCCACCCAGCTCCCACCCATTCCCCAGCACCTGTGTCTGGCCCTCCAGGTTCTCCTGGGCCCTCATCTTTGGGGCACAGGTGTGAGCGGTTCCTGAGGAAAAGAGGGGTTGGCTTTACGAAGGCCAAGGAGGACTTTAGTCCACACATCAGACACTGTTCGAAGTAAATCTGTAACCAGATCCACAGCCCTGATTGCGAAAGGCAGACCTGGGCAGAGGTAACGTATTAACTCCGGCCCGAGTGGTAAAGGCCACCTGAGCCTCGGTCACATTTCCCTCCCGAGCATGCGCCCTTCCCTGCCTGCGCCTGAGCCCGGCATGGGACCTGGTCTTGTTTCCAAGAGAGGGCCAGGGTGGAGGTGACGACAGACACCAAGCCCCGGGTGACGGGGAAGAGAATGGCAGTGGCCCTTAATAGATCACACTCTGAATGAGACTCTTCCCCACTTTTTAATAACAAGTTAATCATTATCCTCATCAAAGTCACTCTCCTTAATGAGGAATGACTGCATGCCCAGCAACTGCTATGTATTCCCGTGCTTAACCCCAGGCCTTAGGCGGTGGTAACTACTGCTGAGGAAACAGATCTAGGAGATGTGATCTGACCGAGGCCATATAGGTAGCAAGATTTTAGAACATCATTCCAAAAACTCAGGTTAGCCTGAACTCCTGAGTGCATGCTATAAACAGCCAATAGATTCAATAAAGGGCTGCCTTTCCCACATGGCCAAGTACCCTCAGTGTCACAGAGGCACAAAACAGAGGGGCTGCTGCAGGAGAAGCTGCCCAGGCTGGCCCAGCCTTGCCTGTTCCCTGTGTCAGGACAACGATCTCCTCCACCACCACCCCCCCGCCCCACATCAGGACTGGCTACATAATCTGCAGGACCCAGTGCACAATGAAAATTTGGGGCCCCCATTCCAAAAGTATTACGGATTTTTTTTTTTGTTTAGTATTATGAATTTTGATACAGCAACAGCAGAGTATTAAACCAGATCAAACCAAACTTTTCTAAGCACAGGGCCCTGTGTGAGTGCCTGTCCTACGGCCGCTGAAGCCTGCCCTGGACTCAGCCTGTCTTTTCCTCCGGGCAGGCCCTCTGGCCTGGCCATGGGGCCCAGAGCTGGCTGAAGGGGCCTGGGGAGGTTCCGAGGAGCTGGGGCTCCTTAGCTGGTGAGGATTAGGCCTAAGGTTCCTGGTTCTGCTCCCCTCTGTGCTGCCCCAGGCCCAGCCCCCCAGGGCCCACCTACTTCTCGGTTGTTGGGCCCACGGCCAGGCCCCGCTCCAAGGGCCCACGGGCAGCCGGGCTCTCCAGCTGGGCAGGAGTTTCATGCTACAGCCGTGCGTCCGTCCGCCTGTCCAACCTCCAGCTTGTCTCCTGTCTGCCTATCTCCTGCTCTACTTCCTTGGCTCCTGCTCCGGGGTGTCCCAAAGTTGTCTGACCAGTTCGAAGCTTCGGAACTGCTCCTTAGCACTTGCCTCCCCACCCCTCTCCACCCCAGTACTCCCCAGGGGTCTGAGCTCCACCCCTTACACTTATGTGCATAGTCCCATGGACATTCAATTCAACCCAAACCATATGCCATCCACATAGAGATGGGGCAGCTACGTTGCACATGGTTTCAGATGCACAAACAAATGGACCTACAACACCCAGACTGTGCTGCAGAGTGTGTCTAAATCACTCCATATAAACACAGAGCCACACAGGTCCGTGTCACACGCTCCCATCTCCACACCCAATACTACTGAGCTCACTGGGTTCCTTGGGCCCTGGCTCTCTTCCTGAAGATGAGGGGTTCTCTCCTGGGGTGAAGGCCAGGGAGGAGGGGCCTCTGGCAGGTAGGGACCAAGTAATGGAATGTAGGGGGCCAGGCTTCAGTACAGCTCATGGACATTGGAGGGGTCAGGGCCTGCCTGGAGCACCCCTATTTCTCCAGCAACAACCTGCCCCCACCCCCAGAATCTGAGTCCCCTCCCAGCCCTGCCACTACTCAGCCTGGGACTTGGCCTGGGCACCTCTTTTCTTTTCTTTCTTTCTCTCTCTTTCTTTCTTTCTTTCTTCCTTCCTTTTTTTTTTTTTAGAGAGAAAGAGCACATCGCTTCTCGGCCTTTTGGCTAAGATCAAGTGTAATATCTGCTCTTATCAGTTTAGAGAGAGAGAGCACACACGCTCGCAAGTGGGGGGGCACAGAGGGAGAGGGAGAGAATCTTAAGCAGACTCCGCCCTCAGCGCCGAGTCTATCTTGGGGCTCGAGCTCACAACCCCGAGATCATGACCTGAGCCTAGATCAAGAGTCGGATGCTTAACTGTCTAAGCCACCCAGATGCCCCTCTTTTATTTTCTAAGCCTCAGTTTCAGTGTCTGTCAGCTGGGGATTCGAGTATCTGTTCTGTCCACCTGCCAGGTCTGTCCACCTTCAGCAGATCAGGGAGATACTCACCAAGGAAGCGACAAGTTAGAGCGTGGCCTACCCACAGGCTCCCGTTCTCAGGTGGGGCCCAGGTGGGGTGCTTTCCTCCATTGCTAAGGAAAGGTCCCAGGTCAAAAGAACTTCTGGGAAAGCAGGACTGAGAGCCAAGATACTGAATCCAGCTGTTCCAGGAACCCTGCCCTGCCCAGTCCCAGGCAGACACCTAGGGCCCAACCCTGTCAGCTGGGGTCAGAGGTAGAGTCCAGAAATTGAGCAGCTGCTGGGAATAGACCCAGTTAGACTAATTTTCAGGGAGGGGCCCAGATAGCTTGCAGTGGCTGAGTAGGCGTGTCTACAAGGTAGTCTGCTCATGGAGTTTTCCTTGGTTTTTCTCTCTTGGTGGATTTGGGGTTTCACCACAGTCCCATATGCCTTTGACAGCTCGCTCACATTTCAACCCATGACACATCTCACCTACCTCTGGGAGACTGGTGGGAAGTAAGTGTATTTGGCCCTCTCTAGGTACAACATTAGCAGAAATGCCAATGTCTGTCCTCCCAGCCCACAACCACTTTTTGCAGAGAGAGAGAATGAAGAAATCGAGGTCACTGGGTTTTATTTTAGTCCAGAAGGGAAGGCCTACCCCCACCCCACCCCCGACACCCCCGACTAGAGCTCTGTCCTTGTGACAGTCGCCTCTTCCGAGCAGGCCCCTTGGGGTCCTCCACACAGCAATGCCTCCAGAGCCCCTCGGCCTTGTTGGTGGGCTTCGTAGATCTGGTCTTCTCCAAACTCCCCCAGGTAGTGCAAACATGTCGTGGAGAGCCTAGGGGAGCCCAACAGGAGCCTCAGACCCTGCCTGCCCCTCAGGGGGCTGATCACGGCTCCAAGGTCTCCATCCTACTCCCACACCCCTGTCATCACCTGGTGGGCCAGGGGCCCCCTGTGATCATCACGCTGATGCTTGGCTCTGGCCCCTTGCTGAGTCCTGGGCCTGTGAGACGTTTCACCTGGTTCACTTCTCGGACCCCATAGCTGGAAACAGTAGGAAGGAGAGGGAGACAGCATTAGTGGGAGCCCTGCCAGCAAGGGATACATCCCCACATGAAGCCAGGCACACGGGGCATTTGCTGAATTCAGAATGCAGATTCTGATCCTCCCTGTTGGAAAACTGAGAACCAGAGAGGGAAAGCCCCTGTCCCAAGGTCACACAGCAACCTTGTCCCCTGGCCATGTAGCATTCTACTTGCCCCCAGCTCCAGACCTCAGATTTCATCCCAGCCAGCCCCCTCCCTTGGACCAAAGCCCTAGTGGATTGTGTGTCTGGTGTGAGTGGGAGAGTGGGAACCTCTACCCATCAGCCCTACCCCTAGAGGAGGGTCCTAAGGGCCAGATTCTTGACTCACCCCTGCCAGGTCTGGGTGCAGCTCTGGTCCAGGACGTCTGTGTATACCGACTCGCTCAGCTCCCGCCGCTGTCCCCCTGAGCCTGGGGTGTGAAGCTTGGCCTCTGCCTTTGCCAAATGTTGCCACATCTAGAACAAGGAGGGGCTGAGAGCCAAGGCTTCGGGACTGCTCAATGGCGGCGGAGGGTCAGACAGAAGACTGGGTCTCCGGGAGAGAGTGAGGTGCCAAGGGAGGCTTTTGGGCCCTCCCCCAGGTTCTGAAAGTTGGGACTGGGTCTGCTGACGTAGGATCCACCTCCCTGGGGTGGGGTGGGTGGGTAGGAAATGCTAAGGTGTGAAGGTAGGCCTGAACACTGGAGCTCCTTCCCCAGGGCACACCTGCCCATCAGCCATGCTATTTTAAATCATAAGAACAAGGAAAGGAAAAAAAACAAAAAAAAACAAAACAGAGCCCAGTCTTCAGTGACACGTGTACTCATAGGCTTCCCTCCCCCCACAGAGGTACTCAGGCACGCTTGACAGGTTTCTGTGTGAACTCGAGACCACACAGGCTCATATATTCATGCCCTCAACCCATGTGCAGACACGTACATATACACCAGGGCTTGCCAGCTGGAGAAGGAGTCCAGGCCGGAGAATAAGCCTGGAAAGGGAGGAGTCAGAGAGGACAAGCGGGTGACTCCCTGGGGTCTCAAGATACTGTGGGGTGTCCCAGATTATTTGCTCTCTGTTGGGCCGAGAGATGGGTAAACTGAGGCATGGTGGTTTGGGTAAGGTGCAGATGGCAATGTCATGGAAAGCTGAGTCTAGCTCAGGGCCCAGGGGTGGGGGCTTGGAAATCAAAGGCCAGTGGTAGAATCTGAGGCCGATGGAGGGGCCTGGCTTCAGGAGGGACGTGGACAGGGGCAGGGGAACTGCAGGGGGGTAACTCACCTGGTAGACCACTGCCCTGCAGGAGTCACACCGCAGGTGAGCAGGCATATGAGCTGAGTACTTCTCCTCGTCGTCCAGCTGTGGGGCCGTGGCTGTGAGTGGGGCCCTGTCCCTGAAGCCCCCTGCGATGGCCCAGGCTCCCAGCAGCAGTAGCAGGCGCAGTGACAGCCTCATGGTCAGTGGCTCTGGCTCAGTGAGCCTGGGCTGTGGTTTGGGCGCAGGTGTGCGTGTGCCTGCGTGCTGTGGGGGCCACCCCGGAAAGCCTGACCCAGACCAATGGGGAACCAACAGCTCACCCCTCCCACTCTCTTCCTTCCCCCAGAGACGCCACGTGTGCACCTCCTCTACTGGGATCCCTGCTGCAGCCAACTCAGCCCCATTTCACAAATAGGGAACAGTGACGTAAGGAGGGGGGCTGGGCCTGCTCAGGGACACA